ACAACTTGGCTAAGAACTGTACTCATAGACTAGAAATATTCATAGATAATGGCAATTTTAGCATGAAAATGTATTTTTTGTGGTAGTGGTGCCATTGTAGCATCAAAGAGCCCTGAGCAAGGAATGTACCACTGCTGCCTTTTTAGATGCAAACTAAAAAGATAGCCTGTGTTGCAAGAATTTTCCATCCATTTATAAAACGAGATAAGCTGGGGCAGAGGAAATATTGCAAGAGGGGAGAGTGCTCATCCTGGTAAGCAGTGCATTCTTCAGTGTAATCAGTGACAAGGCTTGTGGAGGAAAGCACTAAGGAAGTGTCTGAAACATCATCTTGTGGGGAAATTGCCAAGCATGGTGGGCAGAATAGGCAAGGGCGTACAAGTTTGATTGTCTCAGCAGAAGTAGTAGCAAGTATTGGTAGTCAAGCAATAGTGAGCCAAGAGATGGTGTGTGTGGGAGATGGTGGAGGCAGGTGAGGATGAGCCAGACAGGGCCTTGAAGGTAGGGAAAAAGCAGTGTTACCATAACTGTCTCTTAGATAAACTTTAGAAATACAGAAAATTCAGAGTGAAGATTAGACTGAAAGCAAATCAAAGCATGCTGAGATATGGGAATGCATCCAGCCAATTTTCATTTTGCCCTATTCATGCAAAGCAATAGCTTAACAATTGCAGCTACTGAATAATAGCAGTGGTAGTGCAGATTAAATTAAACTGTTTTTTTTTTTTTTTCCCTTGGGATGACCACAGTTCCTGAACAGAACTTGGCTTCATTCCATCTGGCAACAGGCAGGGGTTGTTTATTTAGGAATACAACAGTTTACTTATGGAAGGCTGATTGTCCCACTCCAGTTGCAAACAATGGGAAATAGCTGTTGTTGTAAAGTGGCTCCATTCAAGTGTCTGCAAGTGTCCCATGTTCTATTATGTAGGTGATTTGGGAGAGAACTTTGTGTAGTGAAGGTTATCAGATTTATCAAAGGATTTGTTTTCTAAATTAATTTTTCCTCACAAATTAGTTAACTTTTCAATGTTCTAATTTCAATGTTCTAATTTCAATATTCTAATTCAAGGACACACTAAATGTTCAAATGTCTTTAATCTCCTTTTAAATACAAAATTAAACTCTGCATCAGTTCTGGACCTACAACTGATGCTTCCATGGTAACAAGCAGAAATATCCTACAAGTTACTGTCCTTTGGCCTTTTTAGTTACAGAATTTGCACAGCAAGCTAATTTGTTTTTGTCTTATAAAACATGTAAGTGTGAATGCAAAAGAAACAGAGAAGAAATTTTAATCTTAAATGCATAAGAGAGAGCCCTACATCTAGATAGGGAGATCTGCTGTATCTCCAGTTTAGGGAGAACTTAATCCAATTAGTTTCAAAACACAGTATATGTTCGTTCCACTTTTTTCATCACTTTAGGATGACAAAAAAAAAAAAAAAAAGACCTGTAAAATTCAGTCCTTAACTGCTGGATGTGTTATAGACTACCACTGCAAGTGTAAAGCCTTTAATTTGGGAAAGAGGCAACACAGTATGTAAATTGTACTTTAGTTTTTCATTTCTCAAGGCTTGGATTCAAATCTTGGTTTGAACTCAAGAGAAAATGAGTCTGATGGTTTCAATTCAGTCTTTAATATTTTCAAGCCCTATTACAAAACCACAAAATAATCCAACACAGTCAGCAGCCTCCTGGATGTTGAACAAGGCTAACAAGGTAGTTGGGGGCAGTGCTGGTGAGGCACCATCTCCTGTTGAGCTTCTTTTGCTCCTGGAAAATTTTGATGAGTACTCTTTGAGGTTATTCAACCCTCAGCAGCCCATCAGGTGAAAAAAAAATAGCAGTAAAAGCAGCAACAGATAGAGACTGCTCGGAAAATGAAAAGAAAAATTTGGAAGCTCAGTGTGAACTGGGAGCAGGTGATGAATATGCAGGTGAGGGAAATGTGGCAGGTAGGAGAGGACAAGACCATGAGCAGATGAGCCTTGGTCTTTCCTGGGCAGCACAGTTCATGCAAGAGGGGCTGGTCCTTACCTGCTTCTTCCATGGACATGTGTCCAGGGTCCCAAATGGTGGCACTGGGGCAAAAACGTACTGGAAAATGCTAGCCCTCCCTCAGAACTTCTTTAAAAGCCACAGATGTGTTTTGAGCATTTTTCTTACTCTCTTTTAAGTTAATGACCTTCTGTTACTTTTTTCATAGGTGTGTAGAATAACAGAAGGAGTTAAACCCCCATCTGAACTTTGTGTAGCTGTTTCACATGAGATTCAAAGCGAACATGAGCAGAGAGTGATTTGAGCCACACATTGTGTGGTTCATTAACACATAAAATATGCATATTTTATGAATATGAATTCTATGAATATGTATGTGATAGTTTATTAATAGACACTGTGTAGGTGTATATAAAAGCATAGAGATAGTTTTATAGAAATAATGAAATAAATTATTCTTTTGTATCCTTTTGAGCTTTCATAAAGGGTTGATCATACACCACTGTATAAATAATTATGTAGTCACCCTTTTGTCAAACTGCCCATTTATTTATCTTGACAACCTAAATGGAAATTCCATCAGGTGTACTTCAGCAAATATTGTGTTAGACAGCAGAAGGACATACAAACATTAAATTATAATGGGGTTGTATCTATTTAGTGTTTATTTTAATAGGTGGCTTTCATCAGGCAAGAGATGACTAATTACATACCCTACTATCAAGTGTATATACTTACATATAACTTAGCACCTGAGGAATAAGTAAGGCTTGTAAGGGATTTTCCAAAGCTTGCATGCAATTGTAATAACTAGCTCAGTAGGATCTATTTGTCTTATTTGTTTCATAAGAGATGAAGGGTTATGTATAAATTTGAATTAAATTTTAGCCTGCATATTTATTTTCAGCGTATTTACTTGACTGCCTGCGGATAATAGGAGTTTTTCAGCAGATTGATTGACAGATAAAGGATAACAAATGAAGAAAATTCTGAAAAGCAAGAAGCAACATAAACAAATTATTCTTAAAATTCTGATGTTAGCAATACCTGTGAGCATAAAGGATAAAATCAGTGAACAAAAGCCATTTCTCAGTCAGTTATAAATAACTGCATAGTACAAACGGTGTTTTTCAAAGAGAAATAAAATATAAAACTGTTTCATTAATTTCTACTAGTTATCAACTATTTTATGTGTAAATTATTCTGCCTTTTCAGTGGCAGCAGCTGCATATATGGTGCACTGTGTATATGGTGTATTAACAGACCAAAGAGACTTGTGACAAAATTATTTAATTTCTCTGGTGAATTATCAACACTTCAGAATCTTTCTACTGCTTTGACCTTCCCTTGGAAGAAAAACAGTTTAACAGCAATTTGTTTATTTTAGCAGTTGAAACAGTCTTTACATTTTTATAGTGTGTTTATTTCTTTAAGTGATATTTAGTCAGTGTTAATAAACATAGAGCTGTTGTCATTCACCTATAGACCAGACTTCAAGTACTGAGATTTTTTTCCTAACAATGTGTGGACACCTCTACAAACATAGTCACAAATTACATTCCTAAATAAAAATTAATTGCTAAGTTATAGGCAACCATACTCAAAAATCATCAGCAAAAGAATTTAAGTCATGTCCTCTTTTGGCATTGATAAAGGAAGGGTTACAGAATATGACAAAATGTGTTATTTTGTACTTTGCTCAGAAAATTCCAGAGACAAAGACGTATCAGGCAGTTTTATTTTCTTGACGCATCTTTCTCTTTGTTAAAAATATAGTTATTCACTTATGTGGCACTATCATGACCTTTTTAAACACAGAAGAGGTGATTGTCATGCTTTCCTTTGGCATGTTATGAAACAGAGACAAGAGGGCACTGCATAGACGATACTGAAAAGGTCAATGCAGTTTGGCATTATTGTATCTCTTTTTCAGATGCTGAACTGTGGTAAGAATGCAGAGTTATTCTAATTAAGAATTTCTTATTTCAGCTATCAGTTTTAATGTGATCAAGATTTTTTTTAAAAGTATTTGGGCTAATTATTACTTTTATCAGTATTTGTTGTAATAAGAACAATTCAATAAAATGCCATGTTCTCAGTTTGCATTTAGACCAGGTAGATCTTCCTTAGAAGCTTCCAGTATCTGTTTCAGCCATACGGATTTGGCAGACTTTTACCATTTTATCAGACACAGAAGAAGGCAAAAGTTGTGAATAAGATGAAAATCTGTATTGTAACCCCAACTCCTCATTTGTAACTCCTCTCAGACAGCTTCTTCCAGGTCAATACTCCTGGAGAGTCATGATTGTCATGGTTGGGGCAGATGTGTGGCTCCATTTGATGCTGCTGAGGTGGTATATACAGAAATGCAATAGGAAAAGCAGACACATTGGGTTTGAGGGTAGCCTCAGGACCCCTGAGACTGTTGTATCACAAGAGCTATTTGCCCCCACAGCCCTTTGCTATGCTATTCAAATGAAATATGGCAAATACAGCCTTTTCACTCATACAGTCAGGCCCAAAGTTTACTGAATGGCAATGCATAGCAATTTTACACGCAAATAACTCTGCCGCCCAAAATTCAGGCATGGAGATCTCCCATGTTTCACAGCATGAAACTCTTATGCCGACAAAATATCCATAGCAATATTTGATATACTACTAAAGTTATTTGTATACACAGTTGGGTATGTGTCAGATATAATGGCAATGCTTTAAAATAGAAATAAAAAGCTTGGTACCTGTCTTTTCAGTGCAAACACAGTTTTACAATGGTCTGAAATGTGTTTGTAGGGAAGCAGGTATGAGATTAGGATGCAGTCATCACTGGGGTTTGGCCAAGAAAGATAAAAGATGACCATCTATTTTTTTAATTTTATTTTGTTTCAAGCTTCAATTAGTTCTTAGATAAGCTTCAGCTCACTCTGAGCTCTGATGATGTGTGAGCAGGACAGCTGCCCTTGCAAACCCAATGCAATGTCATCTCCTTTTTTCCACAGCATAGCTGCCAGTCGGAAGGAAACTCCATCTACTTCCACGGGACTGAAGGCAGTGAGTTCAATTTTGCCACAACCCGGGATGTGGACCTTTCCACGGAGGATGCCCAGGAGCAGTGGGCAGAAGAGTTCGAGAGCCAGCCTAAAGGGTGAGTGCCCCCACCTGCACAGCGCCCTAG